TACAACCAAAGTTCCAAAATGGCGCGACGGATGATGGATCTATTCAATTTCACCTCGATACGAGTTTCTCGCGAGTAGACGATTCTTTTAACGTGGAAATTACTTGTTTCGACGTCCACTTGCGAGAAATATTGTCGAGAGCGTTTGCTTTGTGTTATCAAAACGGGATAAACAAACGACGAGTTTATTGAGTCGTTAGTTTGGGATAAAAAAAGAGGTAAAGATCTCTTTCGTGAAGAGATATACTTTTTTTGTTTATACCTATAACATTCTTATTCCCATCTCTGCACGATTAAAAAAATACGTAAAAAAAAAAAACGAGCATTCGATCACGATGAAAAACTTGAATATACGGGATGACCGTCGAAACACCTGAAATCAAATTGAATCAATAATAATTAGCTGAATAAAAACCCCTTTCGTCCCTCGTTCACCACCCACCCACTCTCTCTCTCTCTCCTATCCCCTGTAAAATATTCTCCCCAATAGTAGTGGGATGAAGAGACTCGAGACGCATTGGGATTGAAGAATTTGAACTTTATTCGGTTGCTCTGACACATCGAGACATGGACACGGGGGGGATGGCGGTATTCGAGAGGGGAGGAAGGGAAAATAACGAAGTTGTTGCGAATGATATATATATATATACATATATATATTCTCAATAGAGCCGTTTGAAGCACAACACTTGGCCAGGATGATACTTCCTGATGTGGGCGTATATGTTCTGTGTGAACTTGGAGGGCTTGTCGCAGTAAGGACACTGATATTTCGGCGCCATGCCGCACTCGTGACGCAGATGCCGCGTCATGTTTTTCTTTAGGGTGAAGCCACGGTTGCACCGTGGGCAATAGTGACTCTTGTTCACCGAGTACACTTTCCGCCTCTTCCTGGTTACGTTCTCGCAAACACCTGAAATATCGAATAGAGCGTGTTAGCGGTGTAACAGTTTGTGAACGGGGACGCGTGTTTTTTTTTTTTTTTTTTTTTTTTTTTCCCCGGTCCAGGAGGCGTGTGTGCGCGCGTGCATCGTTTTCCGTGAGTCGTCGTGACATATAGAGAAAAAGTAAGAAAGAAAGATTTAAAACGTGGAATCCTCTTTGTTTCTTTTTTCCCCTTCTTTTCTTTTCTTTTCTTTTCTTTTCTTTTCTTTTCTTTTCTTTTCCTGGAATATTCGATAACAACTGGAGGGAGAACGTTTAAACACACGAGGATTTCGAGGGAATGAAAATCCTCGTATAATGACGCCTGATCGAGAAGCAGAAGCTGGCGCGCGGGACGAAGAGAGCAATGCGACCAGAGAGTTACAAGGAAAGACACATATGTATATATATATATTTTACATCGGAGGAGACAAACGTGAAAAAGAAAAACGTTGACACGGCCTTACTTTTCTAAATCTTGTCTCGATTTCGTATATCGATTTCCCGGTATAATCGGGATATGGAATTTCCTTTTCCATTTCTTTGTTTTTCTATTTTTTTTTTATCCTAGTACCATATTCGATGCTTCGATGGTTTAACGAGAGATGGTATCCTGGAATGCACTTTTGTTCGTTGGTTTTTCCTCGCGTCAAAAAACACAACAGGGAAGAAATTTCCAAATTTCGAGATATCGTCCGCTTTTTTTTTTTTTTTTTTTTTTTTTTTTTTTTTTTTTTTTTTTTTTTTTTTTTTTTTTTTTTTTTTTTTTTTTTTTTTTTTTTTTTTTTTTTTACATGGTTTCTAAGTTTCTACGGGGATTGATCGAGGAGAAGAGTTTTATGGCGTGAGCTTTGTATCCGGCGTGTCTCGATCTCACGTGTCTGTAAATATTGGAGGAGCACGAGGCTTTCATCTCGCAGTAAGGGCACTGGTAACGATGCCCCTGTCCGCAAAAGTAGCGCAAATGCCTGGTCATGGTTGTCTTCTGGGTGAAACGACATCCGCAGTTGAGACATTCGAACCTTTTACGCTCGTTCGGGTGATATCTATACCTGTCCAAGTAGTTTTTCTCCGACGTATAACCGACATACCCCATGTTGTTCCACTTCACGTAACGTTCCCCTTGGTAATTACCTGAAAACATTAATACAAATGATGGTTAATCGAGGTTAAAACGGGTCACGGGTGGCCAACAGTTTTGTACCGTGCAATAGGGAAACGTTGCTGGAGGAACGCTGTCACGCTGTGATAGAAAAAACAGAGCGAGAGAGAGAGAGAGAGAGAGAGAAGGAGGAGTAAAAGTAAAAGAATGGCGTGTGGGAAGGTGGAAGAAAGATAGAAGTAGTTGCAGAGGGCGCCATATATACTCGTGTGAACGGAGAAAAGAAAAACGGGAAGTAAGGTTAGGATCGTCTCAACTTGGATACAGATGTGTGTAACACGTGTGCGTATATATATATATGTATATATCACACGCAATACGCTGGATCGTAACGCGATGGAATTGTTAGGAATAGATAAAAACAGCTTGAGCTGAAAGTTGATCGAGCTTTTAATCGTTATTCTCAAATACGTTTACATTATGCTTACGAGATCCTTTACAATTTATTCGTTCGCGATATTGGCGAGATATCGCCGGGGTTTCGAACACGCAGTTCAGCGATGCTCACAGGCTCAACGAGTGACTAGAGAGGAAGAGAGAGACAGAGAGAGAGAGAGAGAGAGAGTAAGAGAGAGACAGAAAGAGAATTGTGACGATTAGGGAGAAAAAAATTCCATGGTAATACAATCCTATATAATTCGAAACGAAATAGAAAGAATTCGTTTCGTTACGAAAATTCGAACGAATTATTCTCGTTCGACAAGACGAGCGATACGATACGAGTACGAAAATCTTGGCAAGCTTGAGGGATCGAGCGATTACGATTAGAAAAGGAACCGGTTCGGGAAAAAAACACCACGTTGTTTCTTTTCTCGACGACAAAATGATTCGCGCTGATCTAATCGAGATTCGTTCAAACAAGTTTATTGTAATAAACCTCTTTCCCCTCGTGGTAACGGCTTATATGATACTTGACGTTGGACGAATACGTGTAACATTTGTTGCAATAAGGACATTGTATACCACGTATACCGCACAAATGACGTATGTGGTAATTGAGATCTTTCCGCCTTTTGAACCTCTTCCCGCATCGATTGCAGTCCAAATCGTTGCCATAGAGATACGCATCCGAATTTTTCATGCTACGAATCTTGTATTTCTCTTCGCACGCGTGCCTCACGTGGAACGTCAAATCTCTTTGCTTGGGGAACGTCTTGCCGCACTTCGAACACTCTATAGCGTTCGTCCTTGTACGGGACGTCGAGTATTTCCATTCTGAAAATTAAAAACACAAACACGATATGTAGAGCAAACGTTCTCGAGAGTTTCGATACCTTCGAGACTTAGCAAGGTAAAGGGGGGGGGAAGTATTTCGTCCCCCTTTCGATCTCTATGTGATCCCCCGCTATGTGTATACGTATACGTGCACGTGTGTACGATATCATTGTGTACGATACATGTGTGTGTGTATGCGTGCACGTGTACGTATCGGGAAAGTGAGAGAAAAAAAATATCGAGTTCCGTAGATTGAAGCGTAGATATATATAATCTACAAGCGTTTGTTTACACAGTTACACCTAAATCAAGGCAAGAAAACACCAAGGAAACGATGGATAAGATTTCTCTCTTGTGAATCCTGACGGAAGACGAGATTCCTTGCACACGCTCCCATCCACGCATTCACACTGAAATTACGTACTCGTACCCACAACTCGACGCGCATGCGCGGATCGCTATTATTTGGAATTAAAGAAAAAAAAAAATTGAACGATTAAATTGAAAGGGTAAAATTGAAAGGGTGGTGAAAACGAGGGATGAAAGTAGCCAGTTAAATTCGATTCGGTTCGATTCATCATTTTTTCTTCTTCTTCTCTTATTTTCTTTTTTTTTTTTTCCTTTTTTTTTTTTAATGATTCTAGACTATATAATACTTCACCGAAAGTCTCGGGACACCGTTCAAAACATTTTGTTTACACCGACTGGCAATTTAGGATGCCATCGTCTGATGTGCCTGTAAACATTCGAGGATGAGTTGTCCTTCTTATGGCAATAAGGACACGCGTATCTAGGGATCTGGCCACACTTGTGCCTGATCAGGTCCCACATCCTTCGGAATCCCGCGTTGCACTTTGAACAGATGTAACTCGAGACACCGGCTTGCGTCCTCACGTTTGGCCATTCCAATATCCGTATATCTGAAAAGAATCAGGACAATTAGTCCTGCGCCGATCGATTCGCTACCGTTTTTTTTTTTTTTTTTTTTGTTTTGTTTTTTTTCTCTCTCTCTCTCGAAAACTATATACGCAATATCGTCTCGGCCAGGTCCTGCGAACAAATTTCTACGCGTTTCCTCACTTTGACGGCCGCCATTTTCTATACTCAGAAAAGATCCTTGGTCGCAAATTTTCTTAAATCAAATCGTTTCTATAAAATTAAACGTACTCCCTACTTTTTGGAATTTCGATATAATTATTCTTATCGTTATTATTATTATTATTGTTACAATCTGTAAAATATTTTAGAGAGTGATACACAACGGCGACCGTTAAAGTGTTAGGGGTTTGATGCGGACGAGCGACATCTGGCAACGTTACACCTTAACCGCGGCAATTTTGAATTCTCCAATATCCATGATCGTCTCTGTCATCTGTCGTTGTTAAAAATACGAGAGATCGCTCGCTCGTCTGCACGTTCGACAAGCGCAACTAATCGCTACCACGATTGGAACAAACGCAACAAAGTACGAACAAAGTACGAACAAAGAGAAATAAATAAAAATGAACGACCAAAACTCCTCTTTTCGAAACGAGATTTTCCTTTTCCCTTTCTTTTTATATTTCGGCATGCGTTCTCGATCTACGGATTTTGCCTCGTGCTCCATCGGATTCTACACAAATACCACACATTTCCAAACCTAATCGAACGTCCTTCAACGCGTTCAAACACGCGTCTCTATGTATCTATGTGTATGTGACAAGGAAAAGAAGGATGGCGATCGAACGAGTGGAATGATTGAAATTAACGTTATCCTCGCAAGTTTATATCACTAAGTTATATATATATATATATATATATATATGTATGTATGTATGTATGTTTGTTTGTGTGTATGTGTGTATACACGCGCGTATATATATATATATATATATGTATATATATATATATATACATAAACGTTTGGAGTTATTTTATTAAGATAAACGATACAAATCGATGTATCATTACTTCAAAATCATTACGCGTCGGCTCACGATACATACTCGATGAAATATTCTTCCTCCAATTTTTTTCTTTTCTCTTTTTTCCCCTTCTTCTTTTCCTTTTCCTTTCCTGCTCTTTCTCTCTTCTTCCTCTTCTTCTCTCTTTCTCTCTCTCTCTCCCTTTCTCTCTTCCCCCCTCTCTCTCTCTTTCTCGTTCTTCGTATTACCGACTCTTCCAACTTTCTCTAACATAAAAATTTTTACATTTTGTCTGCGAAAAATATCGAAATATACATATTACACACGTATTACCGACATAGCCTCTATAGTCTCTAAAGCTTTACAAGGGAACATTTTTTCACTTTTTTTTTTCACTTCATCATCTTTTCGCTTTTTCAGCGTCATCTAATGAGCGAAACCTCCGTTCTTCTCCTTCTCTCCGAAGAGATTTTTTTTCTTTTAAATTCTCTTCGAATCATCACCGCGCATTGCCAAACGGGAGGGGAGAGGGAAGAGGAGGGGGATTCGATCACGTCGAAACGACGCGACGGAGGAAGGGAGGAGGGGGTGGGAAGGGGAGGGAAGAGAAGGTAAGGAAACGAAAAATTACGACGATCATCGGAGTATATATAAATAAAATTTCTAATTCCTATGCACGATCACAGGCATCCCGTCGTGTCTCATCCTGATATGCTTGTAAATGTTGGACGAACACTTGTCCCTTTTGCTGCAATAAGGACACTTGAACCTCGGCTCCTTGCCGCAATCGTACTTCATATGGGTCTTCAACGTTTTCTTGTACGTGTATCCCGCGTTACAAATGGGGCAGTGATAGGACATCTTGCCGGAATTCCAGAACGAGCCGTCTTCGTTCTTGATCGCGGACCTCCTTCCCCTGTACTCGACTGTCGCCCCCCTCTGGTGGTGATGGTGGTGGTGGTGGTGGTGGTGGCCGTGGCCGTCCATCGCGCTCGGCTCGTCGTAGGCCGGCAACGGCAACGCCCCTACGAACAAGAAAACAGAGGCGACCGTTAGACCGTTAGGGGCGGGGGAGCCGAAGGTGGTCGAACGAAAACGGTGCGGATGGGATAGAGATAGAGCGATCGTCGTGATCGTGGTGATATTCGAACGATTCCGAAAACGAGGGAATCCTTGCGGTTGTCGTCGGGGAGGGAGACGACAACGCCTCTCTATAAAAAAGAAAAAGAAAAAGAGCTCCCTCCTCTCCCGCCTCTGTTACAATTTTCGCGCGATGAAACGTAGGGAGGGGTGAATAGATAGAGAGGGAGGACAGAAGAACAGTGATGATCCTCACGAGGACGAAGGAAGATCTATCTATTTTTTAACATCTCGTGTACACGCGCACATACACACATACATACACACACACACACATACACAAGTCACACGAGTTTTCACGCTCGGTTTTTTCACACGCAACCGACGAAGGAACACGGGCACGCGAGCTACAATTGTATATATATGTGTATATATATATATATGTAATCGCAATATTACACAATATCACGTCACGAGAGTCTCTTCTCTTTTCTCTTCTTATTTTTTTTTTTTTTTTTCCTTCTTGGGATGGACGCGTGCCACGAGCACGAGGATTTAATACAGTTTGTACGCTTGTATCCTGCTACCCTGGTGATACGTTCTGATATGCCTGTAGGTGTTGGACGATTTTCTGTCCCGTTTGCCGCAGTACGGGCATTGGAACCGCGGCTCCTTCCCGCACTCGTATCTGAAATGGGTCAGCATGTTCGCCTTCTTGCTGAACGAGCTGCAACACCTCGGGCAAAAGTATCTCTGAACTTGATCCGGTTGACTCGACCACGACTGCCTCGACGGTTCCTTCGCGTATCCTGCAAAAGACAAGCAGATCACAGGCCGGGTAAGTAACGCTTGCCTACTCCCGCTGCTCGGAGAGTTTTCGAGGTTTCGAGCAAGCTGCACAACACAGAGAGAGAGACTTTCGCACTTTCGACACTTTTTTTTTTTTTTTTTTTTGTTTTTTTCCCCTCTCTTTACGATTCTACGATTTTCTTTTTCCTCCCCTCCTTTCGTTATTCGGGAGGAGGCCACCACTCTCGGAACGAGTCTCTTTGTTGAGACGTTTGATCGATCGTCAAATTGTCGGCAAAATGAATGATGATGAACACGAATTTTATTGAGAAAAACGATTAGAAAAGGGGGGAGGAGAGGGAAAAAAGGAAGACGGAACATATTACAAAATTTCTCGTTGTTGTTATCGTCGAGCGATTCTTTGGTAATATAAAAGAAAAGGAAAGAAAAGAAAAGAAAAAGGAAATGGAAGAAAAAAAGGAGGAGGAGTCGAAGCGAACGAAGTCGAACGATTACTATTCCACAGTCCCAGAGAAGGAACGGTCTCTCCTTAACGTATCCATCGTCGTTCTCACATCCCTCTCTTCCTCTCTTCTTTCAACGCATGAGCAACCGATGCGGTTTAAACAGGGGCAATTCTTTGTGGATCCTTCTCACGTGCTTGTAGACGTTCGAGCTATACTTTGACCGGTAATCGCAGTATGTACACCGGAAATGTGTCTCGTTCAGGTTGCAATGGGAGCGGTAGTGGCGCATCATACGGTGTTTGGACAGGAAAGTGTGCGTGCAACGAGGACACTTGAACCAACCGTGATGATTCACCGGCTGTACACCTGCAACCACGGATTACACATCAACAACAAGTTTCGAAACTTTGCGCCACGTACGATCGAAGGGTGATCGTTGTGAATTCGTTCGAAGATCGATCGAAGAAAAAAAAAATAAAATAAAATAAGGAAAACTTTCAAGTATTTCTCGTGAACGGACATTTATCGCGATTTTGTATACGCGCATCGACAACTGTCCATTAACGAGGAATAAAGACGAGAATTTTATTATTCTGAAAAATTCTCACGATTCAAATGGCTGGATCCATTTTTTTTTCACGATTCAATTTGTTCGAGAAAGAGATTTTTTTTCTGTAAATGGATACTACGTCGAGAATCCTCAACGCAGTGTCCATGTGTTGCTTTCTGAACAAGTGATTTTTTTGAACGCGTTTTTGGTTAAGAAATTCTTCTTATTTCCAATCGTATCGAGAAGGAATGAAACGAAATACGGACGAAAGACGTTAGAAGTAGAAGAATGGAAAGTGTTTGAAAAATTGTTCAAAGAAAGAAGAAAAAAATGCAAATGGAAAAAAAAAAAAGAACATACTTAGAACGCATGAAAAACGACAATTGTTGTCTTTGTGCATGTTTTCTTTTTTTTCTCTCTTTTCTCTCTCTCTCATACTCTCTCTCTCACGCACACACGCACTCTCTCTCTCTCTCTCTCTTTCTCTCTCTTGATCTCTTTCTCCACATTCCTCAATTATCCCTGATTAAAAATCACACATCATCGTCATTCGCACAATTCCTGTGACAAAAATTCCCTCCCTTTGTCTCTCTCTCTCTTTCTCAATCTCTCTTTTTCTTTCTCTCTCCCAGATACACACACACACACACACTCTCTCCCTCTCTCTCACATACGCAACAGTATGTACAAAGACCGCATTCCCGCGCAAATTAAATACAATAACTGCATAATTGTCACAGGATTATACAACGACGATACATTCGTAAAGACATTATTGGCAAGTACGTATGATAATGATAATGATAATAATAATATTAATAATAATAATAATAATAATAATTAATAATAATTAATAATAATAATAATAATAATAATATTAACAACAACATCGCAAGCATACAGCATCGCCATCGGTTATTATTACTCGCCTCTCCTCCTTAACCTCAAAATAATCCCCCGACGAATACAGCCGAAATGACAAACAACTCGCCCAAACGCCGTTCTCGAGGTTTTTATCGTCGTTTAAATCGTAAAACTCTCATTCTCCTCAATATAATTTCCCCTCCTCTCTCTCTCTCTCTCTCTCTCTCTCTCTCTCTCTCTCTCTCTC